TTTACAAAAAATCAACGAGTTGTGACAGAGTATTGGCCTCCACGTCCACACGTAGGGCACACGTTTACTTTGCTACGAGCTCCCAAAGTGATCGCACGCACCTGATTTAAATTTTATATACACACATCGTAACTAGTGTCTACAAAATGGCAGTAACAATGGCCAATGAAGTAACTTTTCGCTTTATAGAGCTCTACCAAGCCGTAAATTGTTTGTGGAACACAAGAAATAAAATTTCTTTTTTTTCCATTTCTTTTTGATCGCCTTTTTCTTATACACATTCACGTAGTAGCAGAATGCTGTGAATAAATAAATCGCAGCAGCCGTTAGCGCCTTAATATCCATTTTAATAAATTCTTGTGAATGACCTTCCAACATGTGGACGCCATCACAAACTCTTGGCTAATATCTTTACCAACACATTCGCTACAATGTTGGCCAACGTAAAGAACTGCCATAAGACTGATACGCCATGCTCATGCAGCCAGCTGGTCATCACTCCCGCCGTGTGCGGACGGGCGCTGTCGTGCATGAGTGTGAATTCTTGGCCCAATTGTAGTCGATACGGGTAGACTATTGCTACTAGCACCTGGTTACGGTATTTTTGCAGCAGCCATGGTGTTTCTGATCCAAACGAGGTCTGTTCTTTCACCAACACGAATTCCCGCGCTCGATTTCCTCAGCGTAGTGCTGGAGTACGAAGTGGTCTACGAGCATGAAGGTTAGCTTCATGTAGTCTTCTCATAGTTTGGTCACTCACAAGGAACTGATGCTCTGACTGGAGCCTTTGAACCAACTGCATGGGCATAGCCTTTAACATTTGGTTGTCTTCTCGCGGCAACTTGCAAAAATCGGTCTTGTCGTTGGGTGGTTTTCGGCGTTGTCGCTTCTCGTTTGGGTGTCTTTCAGCCTCTGCACCAGTAGCACGAAAACGTTGATATCACGTTTTGTTTTGTTCCAATCTCCTCAGCAATAATCCGTTGAGTAGCTCCAGCTTGGAGTATGCCTTCTGACCTTAACATTTTCTATCTCATGCCGCTGCATGATGCATACAATGGCATGAATTCAAAATTAACTGCTAACTTTTTTTAAATCTTTAATTTGACACCAAAAATTACCAAAAACTATAGTAGGTAAATTAAAACCTTTCGAACTTCGCTAAATTTATGCCGCGCAAATCTTTTGTTTTTAGTATAATATTACAAATTCAAATTAGAATCATCCCAAAAGGCCTACAAAATAAGCTTTCTTCAAAAGATTTAAAAACCGGCCAGTATTTTCTGAATTTAAGAAACTTTATACAAAATATCCCTAGACGGTGTTGATGTGTATAAATACAAATATTTATACACTTCAAATTTTATAACATTTAATGGTTTCATAACTTTTGCTTTAAGATATATAAAGGGTTTAAATTCTGTAAATATGTTTACGAAATACTTTTATAGGTATATTTTAACACTAGTTAATAATACACAAAAAATTACTTCTTGGTTATATTATTGCAATTGATTACTGATATTTATTAAAATATTATATTCTAGCTATGGGTCGCTGCTACTGGTGACAATATTATAAAAAAAAGTCACCAATTTTGGAAGCATGTATCTGTTAGAAATTATTTGCAAAGCTTAAATTAATAACAGATAATATTTTTGGTTGATTTTCTTTATAAATTTCGCGTAAATTGCAAAATAAATGACTGCTTAGAATTAGACGTAAAAAGGTTATGGATTTGATAGTTTCTCTAACCTTCAGCCGTCTAATAATTCGCAGCTAGTATTACATTTTACAACTAAGGTTAAATTTTGTATGACCAAACACTATTGCATTTAATAAGTAATTTTATTTATGTATATTAGGCCCAATATAGAATGCTTATAAAATCAATAGGCGTGCCACCAGTAACACGAATGTAACAGCACTTACACTCAGTGAATCCACTTTTAAACTAGCTAAATGTTACCAAGTCTAAATATGTCAGTGCAAGACATGTTCCAAATATTAAACATACTCTTGCCAAAGATACCAACTGTACCGCAATAAATGCTGCGGAATATGCAGAACACAACTGTAGCATTAATTTAAATCCAACCTAATCCTACAAATTTTTAAACGTCTATTCACTCTGTAAATTCAGACTTTTAAATAATGCGTTTCATTTGGACTATTAAAAACTAACAATATTTTATGTTTACGCTATTTTAACTAACCCTTCATCGGCATAGATCCTTGTATATTTTCGAAATTACTCAAAACTTTCGGAAACTGTATTACAACCGTCAAAGCCCCAGCGCCAGAACAGCTGTAAAAATCGGCTCTATTTATTAAGTTATACAAATAACATTCCAAACAAAATTCAAATATACATGATTAATTTCCTATTATTATATTTAACACAATTTGCAATTTTATTGCTTATATTTTATTGCATATTCAATCGAAAAAGCAATAAAATATATGTAATAGATAAATATAAGCGAAAATATGCTATTTCATTCACAAGAAGATAGACTATGCGGATTTAAGTAACAATGTCTTGCTCACGACAAAAGAGGAATGTGATTTCTTTCTAATATCTTAACCAGTAACCATGCCACATTAAAGTAAGTCTTAATTCTAATGTCAATATTACATTATTGTGCCTTTGCAAAGGTAGGAATTGTCATCGCCGCTTTTTAGTAATCATATTACTACAGAGTCACAAAACACTGGCCGGTATCCAGAGACAATCTCGAGTTTGAACTCTAACTCAACAATATTAAAATTTTATTTCACAAATAGAAATTGTCTCTGAATATCGCCCTAAGGGGTTGGATTTACAATCGTTTGGTAGGAGTTTGGGGGAGTAAGGAGGTTCTATTTGGTAAAGGTTTGGTCCCCGATCATAACAACACTCGTATCCCTCGCACTAAAATGTAATGCACTGTTTTCGAGAAAATAATAAAAAGCTATTATAACCTATAAATAGGTAAAACATAGAAAAATGAATGCAATATTACTGTGAAAGCTGGATAGCATACATAATTGTGTGTAAGTAAGACAACAACGTACGACTAAGTAAAAGACTAGTGCCACATTATTATACTTCTATGGTATTTTTATTCTTCCGTGGTCTATACTCTCTTAATAAATTATATTTACAAACAATAAAGAAATTATTATTATATACTTTACACCCAGAAATTCTTTCAGTTGAGTTAAGTTAGAAGGCCACGAACCACGAAGGCTGTGGCAGGACAGCCTCCGTGGTAATTTTTTTTACCGACCAGAAATACTTGATCACTCAGAAATACTTTCAGTTGACCTAGGTTAGAAAGCTGTGCCTTCGTTTATAATTTTTTTCTGCCCAGAAATACATGAGCACCCGGTTATCGTTAATTGTGATAGTGGACACCCCCGCTCCCCCTCCTGCCGGAGAAAGATAAATTTTATTATTTTGAGGTTAGGTCTACGGGATTTTCCTTTAAATTTTTCTTAAGAACCTTTTCATGGGAGTGGTGTCGGGGTATAGGGGACAATCGCCTCTCCCTCCACTCTCCCTCCCCCTCCTGGCGAACGATTCTAAATTTTTACCGCTCTAACTCCTTAAAAATATCAAAACAAATATATATCAAAATTACATACGGATGAAAACACTTAATATATTTTAAACTACATGGATAAATAGGAAAAAACTGGCTGCATGCTAAAATATGCGACTGGAAGTAAGATTTAATAATAACAGGGAATATAACATCAGGCATTATTACTAAGAGGCACAATAAACGTATTTTCACTTAAGGTATTCAAAAACTTCAAAAAAAGATTACGATGAACACATTGCAAGCCCCACTGGAAGAGGGCAGGGACGAAAAATTGTATCATTAGAATTTAAAATTTTATTTTTTTCATTAGACAATCCGTATTCCCCCTTATCTATAATTTTATAACCAAGGACGTTAAAGGTACTAATATTTGTCTGATTCTTGGCGAAAACTATTTGGATCACACAACAACAACACAACTTCCGACAGTAAACATTTATATCATACAGTCTTTACTTTGAAATAAATGTTATATCATACTTGTTCATCATCAGCATTATTAGTCTATCAAAAGGTCCACTGCACGGCTAGCATGGGCTGGGGACAAAAATTTATCCCCCGATTATAACCACTGACAAGAGATAAAATTATCTTATCCATATGCCAAAGCACGGCAACGGGGAGACGTACATATATCCCCGTTTGACATAACGAGTAGACATATATCCCCCGTCCGTAGCATGAAGCCAAATGAAAGATAAAAAATTATGTTTTTTCTGACATTTGAAAGGGACAAATCTGTCCTAGTTCATTGGACGTGAATTTAAATTTATATTCATACATAATATCTATCTAAGTCTATCGAGTCTTCCATTTTATCTACTGTGGACATTATATCACCGGTGTGGCTATGCTCGAAGGGTGGATAAAACTAAGCAAGGGGATAAACATTTTCTCCTTTCTCCGGGGATAATATTGTCTCCTGCCCATGCTAGCCCTGCTGGTGAACATAGGCTTAACCCATATATATTTTTTTTAAACATGCGTGTTTAACTAAGGATTTTTGGTTTATCTTAATATGAGAGTAATGCAGGTTGACTGAGTCTATGACTTAATATTTACAACACTGCAAATAAGGAGATTTATTGTCAGCCGTAACACAATCTATTACAACTATCGGTCTCCTAAAGTATACTATTAAGTTACACGCCACTACAAAATTTTGTTCTGTTTAATAGCTTTACCCATAAAACTTATTAAATAACTTAGAAATACATCAACAATAAAATACTACAAAAAACGGGTAACAATAAATTAATGTGTAACATTACAGAATTTTGACTAGAATATTTTATCTTGGAATGTGTTTCGAGTGAACCACCGATATTTATTTTTTCTTTTAAATTACAAAGGGCACCTTAAATTAATACATTGATACACTAAGTTTTTTGACAGATAGCATAATGGTGATGTTTACTGGACCCATGAGGCTGGCACCCAGAGTGGTTCAGACTGAACCTTCCAGGAGGCTTTCAAAAGTTGTGTGAGTGCACGGGCTAGATCATCGTTCACAATCTCCTCGTCGAACATGTAGCCGTATAGGAAATTTATACGGTTCGACGAACGTATAATATCGTTAAACTCTTCTTCCTGCAAATGCCACGATATATTTATAAACAAATGTCAACAACAGTAATATCCACTCGGTAGAGCTGTAAATAAGCATTTGTCTCACTGCGGGGACACGGTTCGGATCCCGCACACACAAAAACTGTTCTTTGTTTTTCTTTGTTTTCGTATGGCCTACAAATAAATTATTCTGACTGGACGTTTATATAATTAAAGAATTTAATTCGCCATCACGATACAGAAGAAGATCTTAGTATAGGGGTAAAAAAAATTAACAAACCAAAACACAGACATATATTGTTGAGTAGTATAGTAATCATACATTAACTAGGTGACAGCAACTAATACTTAATTTGAATAATTAAAACTGATTGTAAGTAAATTCTAGTATCTAGATTCTTATTCCGAGAGTAAAGTAGTCTATTATAATTTTGCATCCAAATATAAACTTGAACTGTATTTCACAATTTTTGGGACGTTATTGTGTTTCTCCATATTTTTTGCACATTTTAACATTTATTTTTTATTTTTCAACTTTTATGAATTTCTATAATTTGGATTATTTTATTTTTAATCTTATTAATATAAAATATAGGCTAATACCACAGAAAGAAACGAACAAATTTATACAATTCACTTAACAAACTTAACAAAGAACAAATTAACTTTCCCGCCATAATATCTGTCAAATATTATACTTCACTTTTAAGTGACGCCGCCCTGGTGGCAGAAAAAGTCGTGGATGCCCTCATTGACAACAAAAATGATCGGTTAGCTGGAGTGGAGTGTGGCAATGGAAGACCATATAGCTGGAAACCTCTACCGATCGAAAGAACAGTTGTCGAGTAAGACTGAAGAGCGCAGCATTGGGCGACATCGTACTAAATATATAACGACATAACGAGACGTGCAAGGAGTCGAAGGATGCAATTTGGCCTGTTTTTAGGGCAATAATCTGTGGTGGACGCCACTTCCTATTATCACAGAATAAAGATACTCTCATTTCTGAGAGGGTTATAGAACAGACACTCCGCCACATAAACCAAGTACGTATTGGCGTATTTAACATTATCCTCGAAATATTACTCAGATACACATGTTTCCTCAAGTTTTCCTTCACAGCCGAGCACGTAATAAATCAGCACTTTTAATTGTAATTAAAAATGTCTTTGGTACCAAGTTGTCGGGTTGATCAATTTACGACGAGTACTTAAACTACCAGAACATTCTTTGGTATTCAATATTCTTAAACTATACTTACTTATACTTAGGTTTTCTTGCTTTTATGAGAAAAACGTGAATATTTTTATATCAAATACACGTTATCAGTAAGCTAAATTAGCAATCGGCTGGCCATATAGCTCGAAGGGCCGATAACCGATGGGGATGATAGGTTCTCGAGCGGCAGATTCGTACCGGTAAGCGAGATGAAAGCGATCGCCTAAATGGATTGACGGCCTGGTAAAAGTTGCAGGAAGTCGACGGACGAAGGTGACTCAATAGCATGTTTTTTGGCATTCCTTGGAGGAGGCGCGTGTTCGGCAGTGGTATATTAAATTAGAATTATCGTTTAAAAAGGCTTAGTGTAACTTTCTTTATTTCTATTTGAAAAAATACTTACAGTAAACGCTCGCGAGCAGTCCTTGTCGAAAGTTGAACGAGCATTTGCAGCCGTTCGTGTCTCTATGAGTCTCGCAAGTGGTGGTGGTCGTATGAACACAATGTACGGACGCAGTCTTGGAGTGCGGAGCATCTTGAGTGCCTGCCAGTGAGGGCTTAGCACACAGACACGACCTATCAAATTGTTTAATTTATTTAATAAAACGATTCATTAATGTTCAATTAAATATTTTCTATCTTAACAACCTTTCTTAATCCACATTGTATATAGACCTACTCAAGAATGTGCCAATTGGTTGTTGGTGGAGTCGTGACACAGAACCGATACTATCGAAATAGTAGTACTGTTGTTCCACATCAACGGTCTGTACGATTTGGATTCGAAATTTTCGGATCGATATACTGCTTTGACTTGGACGATAGAGCCTCGTTCATTCATGTGTAAGGTGCGTCACGTATATCAGAGGTTGTTATCTGTTTTTTGGAACGAAGTTCCTTATCGGACGGTACGATTTTAGCGGATGAGGGCTAGGCCAGAAAGTGTAAGATTGACCCCTTATGACGTAGTGTAGACGGCCTTGGTGGCTATAAGTAAGCGAGATGGAATAATATCCATCTCCCGCGCACTTTTTCTTATCTTGCCATGAAAGAAATATTTTTTTAAATGATGCTTCATTTTAATAGACGCTCGTAATTCATTTATTTGTATTTTTTAATCAATAATATAATAAGTTTATCAATAATAATATGCTATGAAAGGAACTTCGTTCCAACCGAGTACCGAGTGTTCCACGACACTCACGCATTTTTTTTTTGTTGTCTTTTGATTGTAACATCTTATATCCTATTTCCACAATTTGTAACCTTAATCTTTAAACATAAGTCGAGCTCAGCAACACACGCATAGCGTAGAGTATATATGAAAATAGCAATTATAATTACAGTATGTATATCTTTATTTTTAATTACAATAGTTCATTAACATGCTGATCTTCAATTCGCGGTGTTCTTAGTAAAGCAACAGTGAACTTTATCGATGTGATCGGTAAATTTTTCAGACCCATTTTCGTGTTTGATGTTGCATAAATACGCATTCAAATTGTTTGGAGATATGATTATAGCATATTTTGATAACCACATTTTGCATATTATGAAAACTGTAATCATATCTCCATATAATGCTGTCGTTCATGTCCGTCCATCCTATCTACCATCACATAACATCGTTCACAACATATTAATCACACGACATTTTCATAAAAGCGTGCAAACTACCTTCTTAATCTAAATATTTAAGACAAAATTATTACATTTGATGGACGGCGACTTCCAGTGTGAAGAAATATTTAAAATAAGTTTACATTGCACTGTACTTAAAATTAATTAGAGATTGAGATTTTTTAACTAATTACAATTTATTTATATAAAATCTCAAATATTCTGTCATTTTTATCTTTTTAAATTCAAAATGCATGGTAATATATTATTTTAACTGATTTTACTGCGCACGCACACATTCGTAAGGATCGATCGGTAGATAAGAACGTTGTTGCCCATAAATTACATTCAATTTGGGACAATTTCATATAAAAATTGAAGCTTATTTACTCGTATTTTCAAAAACAGCAACAACGGTATATCATTATTTATAAATTTGAACTTAAGTTTAAAATTTGGCTACTCTTTGAAAAATAATCCTGTATATACTTATATAGGTTTTGTTATTATAAATAATACTAATAATTTCAAAATAATATATATTTTAAACTTAGTCTAAACACTAATTTGAGCTCGCATGAATAAAGATAAATTCATATTTTTTTTTAGCGTGACAAGTATAATCAATATTTTTACAAATCGCAATGCATAGTGCACGGTGCAGGGCTGCGCTGGTTTTAAATAACCCAATTGTCACTTGGATCAATTGTATACTATAATAACATATAGTCAATAGTATAATATATTAACCATAATTGTCTGGTGGATTCCGGTCTTCGAAAACTTCGATCCCAATATAACAGATATATTTAATAGTATCAGTAGCATAATGGAGTGTTTGCGTGTGACATTATGTACCTTTCAGGTGAATTTAATAAACTTTATAGATATGTATATGACGACATATCCATAAAACGAATAATTTAAGAAGATAATAATTCAAGTAAATTACAAAACGAACAGAGACCAGTAATGGCGTTTAGTCGGTCAACAGTTTATATTTTTGGGACTTATCAAAAATATTCGAATTTTATAAGGAAAATAATAACACACACAGGTATAAATGGTAGCTCAGCAGCATAAAAAATATGCGCAAAGCATTAAATGACACAAATCACAAACTTATATAACTAAAATTCATTCATAGATTTTTAAACAAACGTACCTGAATTAATAATGGTTTCCACACTCTCCGCTGACGTACCGTAAAGGTTTCCTTTGTATTCGCCATGCTCAATAAACTTTCCATCCGATATATCCTGCTCCATTTTTTCACGCGTGACAAAAACATACTCCTTTCCGTTTTGCTCGCTCGATTTTTGAGGGCGTGATGTATCTATTAAACGATAACAGTGTGTTTTATAATAATCACAGAGTACCAGGATAAAAAACAAGATAATGCCGCTGTTCCGTATGGTAGACGTATGGAGGTAAAGAAATCCTTGACAAAATTAATAGGTACTGTTGTAAAAACACTGTTGCCTTATAAAGTATGTACAGTACACAAAAAACAGCACAAGCTCAGACATACTACAAAAAAAAACCATCTAATTATTATAAATGTACTGCCCGAAACCGTTTTCTGACACAAGCCAACACTGTGGAGTTAAAGTAATCGAAAAATCAATACACAAACCGACTAAGAATTATGATCGGATTTGGTTAAATATTTGTGGGGCTTTGTACTTTGATAACGCATACCATTTTAAAAAAGCAGCAAAATGTTTAACTAACATCCATGTTTTTGCTGAGGACGTTTTTTTAAACTGCTACAGGCCTATACTACCTTAGTCTAAACGATACATACAATTCTTTATTCTATTTGACTTATTTTATTACACTGTGGCTTATATACCGTTTCAATAACAAAGAAGGGATCATACTACACCATTATTACAACAGTCTGAGGTGTTTGGGTTATTTGCGTGGATTTTACACCATTTTGTTTAGTTTTACAAAGCCCATACAATTAAAAATTAATGACCGGTTGCCAATTGTATGCCATATATGACAACTATACTAGAAGTATATGAAATTAACAGTCTATAAACGACCGTCAGCTGGGTACAAAGCTACAAAGTTCCCGAAATTGTTGTTAGAGTAAAAGAACGCTAAAACTCCACCAGCTGCTTATTGTTTTGATTTCGTTTGCCATCGATTTTAATATTTTTCCTTGTACATACAAAACTATTTACGATGTTTCGTTACATTTTTAATATTACAAATGAGCAAGCAAAATTGCAGTTAATAATTTACATTGATGATGGCGGGAATCGAACCCTAAAATATAACATTTCTATAAAACTTAAAATGCTCATCAAACAAGCCCATTATATTCTGAGCATAAGCAAGTAGTACTTACATGGCACGGGTGTCACAAACTTCTCTGGATCAGTCGCAATAAGTCTCCTGCGAAGCTCATTTCTGCCCACCCCCGGAGCTCCAACTAGTACTATGGGCCTGACCATTCCAGGACGAGGATATAAGCGGGCGACTTCCTCATATGTTGGTATCATTTCACGATCAAAATCATCGTTCTCCTTAATATCGTATATAATTTTTTTAACTTTGGGTGTAGATTTACAAGGCAATAAGGCAGTAGCAGTGGGGTTAGGTGAACAAGGTGTTTTAGGCCCACAGTTTGAACTGGCTGTTGTTGGACTGCAAAGTGCTGATTTACCTGTTGAATGTATAACATAAGATGAAACCAAAGCATAACAAAAAATACTAATGATTTGTTTTTTAAATCAACTTTTCTGATCTTTACAAATTAAAAGATGAACCAACCATCCATAGTTTGGGGATCAGTTTGTCTTTCATGAATAATACGCCCTTCTTGCAAGGCTCGCGATGGAATCAATCCAGCTCTCATAACTCTATCTCCTTCACGACGTGCTTGCCACCTGTAAGACAAAACTGCATAAAAAAGTCATTGAGATACATTTTTTTATGTTACGTTTAAAAAATAACTTACCAATAAGCATCATCCTGAGAGACTATGTGCAGTATGTCACCTTTTTTAAAATCCAGCCCAGCTTCTTTGCACGGAATGTATGGATCCTCAGACGAGTTGTAATTGAACAGAGCTCTAACCCTCACTTTGCTCTCCCTTGAGCCTCCTTTACCAAATGATGGTACTAACTTAAAGGTTATTGTTCCTTCTGAGTTTTGCTGCAATAGTAAATTTAGGCAATAAGTGAAAAATACTGAAATTTGTTTTATAGAATTTCTGGAAATATTCCACTAAAATGAACAAATTACGTGAAACACTTACTAATATTGAGAGAACATCAGTTGGAGTTTTATTTTCAACACTGATACCATTGACTTCAATGACTTCGTCACCTGCATGAATCAAACCAGACCGATCTGCAGCTCCGCCATGCATTACTCGAGCAATGACAATCTTGCCTGTGTCCTCATCTGTCTTTATAGTAGCCCCCTATTTAAAAAAGTACGTCATACAATTATATTTTCATTAAAATCATTAAGACATTAAACAGACATAGAAAAAAATACATTTTTACTTCCGATTTATTCCGAAAAAGTAAAATCAGAAACATTATAATTTAAAAAAAAATAAGACAAGAATGACATTGCACAAATAAAATGTTTTAGGAAAAGAGTCAAATTAAATATTTTGTACTACCTACTTCAATATAAATTATTAAGAATAACTTAAAAACTATTGGTCAGACCTTGATCAAATTTATATGGGACCACATAAGAAGCACCAGCTTTCAAATAAAAAAAAGAATCATCGAAATCGGTTCACCTCGAAAAAATTTATGAGGTAACACAAATTAAAAAAACACAGTTGAATTGAGTACCTCCTCCTTTTTGAAGTCGGTAGAAACACTAGTTACATACAATGGCATATTGCTTAATGTAGTTTATGAATGTTTTATGTAGCAATTTGCTGCTTCCCATTATACTTATTACAAAATGCATATTATTAAATATTAGTGACTGTACCACAACAATCAAACTAAGCAATGTGTATTGTGTGTGATTTGTGTAGAATAATTGCAAAAAATTAAAACAATTTAAAAATGACGAAGTGGCAACAAAACACAATACATATTGCATTGACATCTAGAGATAGCAGCTAATGCACAAAACTATGTAGTCTGGGTAAGAATGAATGATGCGAGCGAACTTTATAATGTTGTGATGAAATATATTAAGTATAAGAAAAAAATAAGGTGTAAAAAGATATATAAAGAACGTAAGCATTTACTTAAGTAGGCAGTTGTAAATATGTATATGGAACTTACCACTATAGGCTCTGCACTCTGAGCTCCACCCTTTTAATTAAAAAATTTATTCTTAAATACCCCTATTGAAATATTTTTGTAAAATTTATGAACATGTAAATTACATAGTATATAATACATACAATTATTTAAATGTTATATAATTTAATAAGAATAACACTACATTATGTGAGCTATTATATTAATTTTAAATTCAACATAATATATTTAAATTATATTTGGCTGATAATCGATTAAAATACACCATATAGCTGCTATTTCTAAATGAGGGACTTCAAGAACAAAATATAAATATTAAAGGAAATAAGGAAGATTAGAAACTTTTACATACCAACGGTTCATCACTCTTAACTAATTGAACAATTTTAACTGTCTCTTCCTCTTCGTCAGCATCAGGCGGTATATCCGGAAGGTGAGGATAATAATCCTTTTGAGCAACAGCATCATGAGTGCAAAGTATAGCCTGACATGCAAACCATAAGTTTATATCATATTTTAAGAAAATATTATATTTAAAAAAATTAAGTGTGAACAGTCCACTTGATAGTAAGTGGCTACTTACAGCCCATGGACACCTGCAATGAACTTAAAAAATAAAGGGTAACGATGCATTATCAGCTCTAAGGAATAAGATGGAAAACCTCATAGCCTGTAGTTATGCTTGCTCTCCATATCTTGAACACAGCAGGCATGCACTGCTTTGCAGTAACAGAAATAGGTAAGAGTATGGTATTTAGACAGACTTCCAGATAAGAAAGAGTCCTACCATTTTACTTAGTATTCCTTTGATTACCGGAATGAAGTTCCTTATAGGACGGTACGAATTTGGCAGATGGGGACTAGGCAAGAAAAAGTATAAGATTTTTCCGTCACAACCGCTTCTGACGTAGTATAGACTGCCTTGGTGGCTATAAGGAAGCAAAATGGAATAATATCCATCTCCCTCACACCTTTTTCTTATCTTGCCATGAAAGAAATATTATTTTAAATGACGCTTCATTATAATAGACACTAGTAATCCATTTATTAGTATTTCTTAATCAATAATATAATATGTTTATCAATAATAAACTTCGTTCCAACTAAGTGTTCCAGGACACTCATGCATGTTTTTTATTTATGAATTAAATTATTTATTGTTTAGACAACCCATAGGTTGTCACATAAAATTACACTATTTTTTTTTTATTATATGAATAAAATGCAAATACAAGCTATAAGCAGATAGTGTGAAAAATTCTATAGATCATTAATATAATCATCATTGATAGAATTCTATAGATGATTAGTTCAACTTTTCCGATTTTATACATGTATTTTAAGTCTGGTTTAGAATCTTGCTGATTGATTATTTGGATGACTTTGTAATTTCCACTATTTATCACTTAATGATAAATAATTTTGGTTACTGGTGAATTTCATTCAGCATTTGTGATGAACCAAGTACACAAAAGTAGAATGTGGTATGATGATCTGAATTATTGGTTATTTTAATATTGCAGCAGATAGTAACTGTCATTAATTAAATTAAATCAAATGTGAATTATACTGCTCAAGAAGTCAAGACCCCATGATACCAGTAGCTTGTGTTTTTCATCAATTAAAAAACTAAAAGCTGGATCAATTGTGACATAGAATGTTCAACACATCATTCATCAAATGATTATGGATATTACAAAGCACTTGGACAATACAAATATAAGTTTAGACCATGCAATAAAAGTCATGAAAAATTCGAACTTTTAACTGCAGTATTTGAGTTATTTGGATGGGTTTTTTGTCATTTTGTTTTGCACAAAGCCCAAAAATGTAATTAAAAATTAAACATCTCTATGTTTGGGTAAATTTGATTTCATCCACTTAAAACATTCTTGGTATGAAATCTCTGTGACAAACAGACATGCAGACACCAAAGTGATTCTATTAGTGACTCATTTTTATAAATTTGGCACTAACCTCATAAATCTTAAAGTTATATTGTTTTTATTGGCATCAAATATTTTAAAAACCCAACATAACATATATGTATCAATATATTTGTACTTCTAAATTGTCAAAATATGATTGATCACAAACCTGAAAATGTGGCTTCTGCAAAACCCTTAGTAATTCCTCATATTCATTAGAAACAGCAGCAACATCAACAAGCATTTCCAGCACCTCTAAAGTCACTTGCATAGCATTTGAAAGCAAGGGAAAAAATTTATCATCTTTTCCCTTTGCAACAATTTTATTATGCACTTGAACCAAAGCATTTAGCTGTTTGGACTGCAATAGTTCACTTAAGAAGGCAACATCTTCTCCATCAGACTGCACTTCTTTCAAGGATGCTAATAACTTAGTAAGTGCTAAAAATATTCACAGAAAATATATGTTTTAGAAATTCCATAAAAACATACTTTTATATGTGAGCAATACATACCAGGATCCCAATTTTCTGGAACGCAATCCATTTTCACATAATCTCCCACTCATGAATACATAGTAATGAAAATGTGAAAAATCACAGAATACATCATCGTATCACCAAAGACATCTATGCAAAGCAATCATTTGCATAGCAGATATAATATTGTTAACAGTTTGATGAAATTTCTTTACCATTGTTGAACATGTTTTTGACCTCATTTATTGTCTTAAACTGTAAGAATTTATCTTGCTGTAATAATATAAACAGATTTTTTTTCTATAATAACTCAAGGAATACAAATACTGTGTATTGTAAAAAATACATAGTGATGAATAATAATTTTTAATGTCAGCAAAGTGCTTTCAAGAAGTAAATTTATTCAAAAATATTGCTATCGATTAGTAATAAATACATATACTTGATCTGTTATTAAATAAACTATCGCCGATGGTAATAGAAAAAACATTACATACAGCTTAGTTTTTATTTATAGATAAAAAATAAATAATATTTATTACTCATCAATAATAGTTAAACAAATATTACATATTACATACATTATAAATATTTCAGTTATATTATAGGGTATTTCTAGTTCGCAAAATTAAACTATTATATACCTATTACTTTATATCAATAAATAAATTTACTTACGTTAACATAATATCATTGCGGACACAAAACAAAAACATAAAATTAAGGTTGTGAACCTAGATGGTTTATTTAAGAATTTTTAAAAATTAAATTCATTTTAGTGCTTGACACTAAAATACTATTAGGGCAAGTAAAAATGAAAATCACCAAGGAGAATTAAAATCAGTAATCACTAAGTGAACATCACCAACAGAAATCAATACCACTAAACGACATTGAAACAGTGCTGCCAACTCTTAAAAATATTTAATGCTAAATCCATGTTTGTAAAATGCGAAAAATATGCTAAAATTTGCGGAATATGCTAAAGAAAAATGCTAACACCTTTTTACAAGTTTTATTTTACAAAATGGTACAACATTCATAGACAACAATCAGTCAGTCCGTGATACAAACGAAATATTCAGATCCTCGTCGGTATCTTCTTGGTCAAGTGCCATCGGTGGGTCTGGAGCAGAAGACGAGGACGCATATACCTCATTTGACGCTACCTTTCGTAATATTGGATCAGATGTCCAAATCTTACGTATAAAATTGAGCTTAATGTTGTTAAAGACAAACTGTTTCTCAGTTTTGTTTTTACCAAGTTAACTTGGCTGAATACACGTTTGAATGTGGCAACGTCAGCAAAATTGTTGCATATCCAGCCAGTTCCAAGAAGAGAATGTTTCCTGCAGCTTCCTTGAAGTTCAGGACTTCACGCCAAAATTCAGTGGTAGATGAAGTACACTGCCACTGCATACGATCAACGTTTCGCCATTGTGATACAACCTTATCGATTTTTGTTGCATCCGTAGTAAACTTTGCGCTTATTCTCTATAATATTCATTGAATGACATAATATATTATTCAATGACAAATTTCTACTTGTACCCTACATGTATCCATCTAGCGCCAAGTAGCGCCAGTGCTATGCTACTTGACGCTAGATGGCAAGATATATGTCAATATCGATGAAACATGACGTGAGACTACGGTTTTTCTTTTAGACCAGGAAAATGCTAAAAAATATGCTATATGCTAAATTGGAATTTTTAATGCTAAATCAGTCGAAAATATGCCAAATTTAGCCATAAAAATGCTAAATTGGCATCACTGCGTTGAAACGTTACGTTACATGCAGTTTTGTTTTGTTATGGAAACGAGCAAAAAATTAATTATACAATACTTAATTTTTATTATAGAAAATCTTTTTTTTAATGCGTCCCCATTTATTAAGTATTTATTAAGTCATAAGACTATGAAGTTTTATAATATTGTCCCATGTTTATTAGGCCATAAAACAAAAATAATGTGGCAACTGTGTAAGATTTTGCTTTATACAATGCGTAGTATAGTCTCTTACTCTTACAAGTCTGTGTTTACACACGGTCGGTTCATCTCCATTTTGTCGCACGTCCCGCTAAAGTGATACGCGATGAAACTTGGAAAAATGATCATATCATTACGTGGTAGAGCCATGCAGCAGCTATATTATATAGTTGTAGCACGAATGGGTCGGCTCGACCGGGGAAGGACCACGCTCTCATAGAATACCAGCGTAAAATAGCAGCTTAACACTGCTGTGTTTCGTATGGTGAGTGTAGAGAACCGGAGACCCTTTTTACTGGAAAAGAGGTATTCCATCTTAGTCCTCATGTGTGACAACGCATCTGCATTTTGATTCGCAATCGAGGATAAATGTAGATGTCTTTGGGCCACAGCAACCACTTACCATCAGGTGGACTGTGTGCTCGTTTGTCACCCTATCCTATAAAAAAAATGATACTGATGAACAAACGTAGTGATTATATTCTCCTTGCCGATGAAGGATGAACTTGAGATTAATACGTCAAACGTCAATAATTATTATTAATTGTGTATAGTTAGCATTGATATAAGAAAAATTTCTTATATCTATGATAGTTAGACAGTATGTACCACAGAGTAAAGAGTAAAGACCAGAGGGGAAGCTTCCTAAAAACGTCGAAATCTATACCTATTCTGATATATCACCTGATGCATGTGAAAATTTTAAGGAAAAAATAAAAATATTATATAGTATAAAACTACATGTGTATTCATTGTAACTTAAGTTAATGTAATAATAACATGTCTGTTATTTGTAATAAAATTGAAACTGCAAAAAATTTATATTTTGCTTATTTTGGTGTTTAGCTTCACATTCTTTTATATTTCTATAAATATCATTTTCGTAAGAGAACATATTCGTAATGACTGTGATAATGGTAATGGGCAGTGGCGGTGGTGGTGATGTTGATACACCACCACCACCAATGTTACTACCAGGATGATGGTGGCGGTAGCAAGGGCTGTTGTGGTGATGCTGGTCGTGGTGGAGGTGCCAGTGGTGGTCCACCTCCACCACCACCACCAATGATACTACCAACACCACCACAGTCACTGACACCATTACCAGCACGATGAGCACCACCATCCACCGCCACAACACCGCACGATCAGCACCACCATCTACCATCACCATCACCGGCACTACTACCACTAACACTAACTGCACCACTGTCTGGCTATTGTATTATTTTCTATCGAATTTTTCATACAAACTGTACAACTTAGGCATTAAGCTTATACAAATACTAATTATCTAATATAAATATATATAAATCTATAATGTCTTATTTTATAGTACACACAGCTTTTTACTAAATGCATATGAATATATATACGGTACTTATAACAAAAACACAATTTTTAAAAATTTTGTCTATCTGTCTGCCAATCTGTCTGTCTGTCTATTTGTTCCGGCTAATATCCGAAATGGCTGGATCGATTTCGGCAGGACTTTCACTGGCAGATAGCTGATGTTCTAAGGAGTAACTTAGGCTACTTATATTTGAGAAAAAGAATTAGGGTTCTGAGCAATATAATCAAAACCCTAAATTACACGCGGGGGAAGTCGCGGGGAACAGCTAGTTGATCTATAAAATCAAGAAATATTATTCGTTTATTTATTTCAATGCGCATGACCAACAGCCCTTTCATTCATACTCCGACTGAGCCGGCGCAAACCGGTTTGTACTCCTACGGAGCGTCGGTGAACTTGTCGGTGAGACCTCACGCACACATAGCTGCGCTATGTGTGGGCATACCCGCAGCGAGACGTTTGTATGTAGCTTCCCCTCTGGTCGGTTTCTTTACTCATGTGGTATGTACTACGTGTTCATTTCATGAATGCCGTTACCTCCCGCCGCGCACCCTTATACCGCGCACCCTCATACCGCGCACCCTCACCCGCGCCTCAAGCATCGCCCATATAGTACCGATAGCAACGCTGAAATGTATCTAGGTTCGTTGTTTGTGCTCCCGTGCGATCTCAAATTAGTTATACCGCTTCAATCGGTCCCTGACTCCATATTCCAAACAGCCACATCAGCATTTTTGTGAGAAGTCGAGTGATAATTCTAAGTAATCTAAGAAGAACAACTTAGACTTACTTAATTAACATTAATATTAATTTATTCTGTAACTAACCACCTTCGAAAGAACGTTAAATCATTTTATACTTTAAATTGTGTTTTTAAAGAGACTGTCGAGGTTCGTCGCAATTTAAGTGGCGCAGCCGATAGGATATCTGTATATATCTGTATATATATTGCCATGTAGTGGCGGTCAAGAATATCCACTACCCCATATCCTCCCGTGGGTGTCGTAAAAGGCGACAAAGGGAAACAGGCAGGAGATGGGCAGCAGCATCTTCTTGACAACAACAAACAATAAAAAAACTGCGGTTGCCAACCCGCTCGCCAAGCGTGGCAACTATGGCAAATACCCCCCTATGAATGACAAAAACAAAGAAACAGCCCCCAGTCCCCGGCGGCCCCGCTATTCCTGCCTACGGTGGCGACCATGGTAACGGCGTGGTAGGGGGTGCTAAGAATCTCCGGTGGAGGTTCGGTTGCCACCTTAGACGACTCGACCTGGCAACGTACAACGCACGCACCCTGAGGACTGACGAGAAGATTGTGGAGCTGGAAGAAGAGATAGACAAGTTGCGCTGGCATATTATAGGATTATCCGAAGTCCGAAGAGAGGGGGAGGACACGGTAATCCTCGAATCCGGCAACTTGCTCTATCACCGGGAGGGTATATATACCATCTGTCCCAAGGAGGTGTCGGATTTATCGTCCACAAGTCTCTCGTTAACAACGTTGTAAAGATCGGGAGTGCGTCGACGAGGGTTGCGTACCTTATACTCAGAATCACCAAACGGTATTCGCTGAAGGTCATACAGGTTTACGCACCAACCTCGGCACACCCCGATGAGGAGGTGGAGGAAATGTATGAGGATATCTCTAGAGCCATGCATTCCTCCAAAACCCAATATACGGTGTTAATGGGAGACTTCAATGCAAAATTAGGCACAAGGGA